GCCACCTCCCCGAAACAACGGCAGTAGTAAACCAGCAAGTTCAGTAAATGTTAACTACATCCTATTAGCAGCTCTGGGCAGCGCAGCTACATCAGCAAAATAAACTTTCTCATGTCTCCAAGCAGGTGACCTTGTCACACATGCCTGGTGTGCACACAGCGACCTGTGGTAGAGTTACGACACAGTTGGCTTTGTTTAAATCTTTGAGATATCAAAGAAATGGATTAAGAAAAACCTCAGCTTTTGGTAAGAACTCAAAGCTAAAAAAGTCCCTAACTCTTTTGGTTGCAGAGAAAGGACTGAAACAGGACCTAAATGTGTCCCAAGGCCTCAGAAACTAGATGGCAAAACCCTTCACCTTCAAAAACTTAGTCTTGGGATGTGGAAGGCCAGCTCCACTTTTTTTTTTTTCCTTTTTAGTTTGGCAGTGCTGAATATAACCGATGCTGGTGATCCTTCTGAATACTTTTCTTTGTAAGGCAATGCAGCAATCATTTTATTTTATGAATGCTTAAGAAAAAAGTTTTCTGATACAGCTGTAGGAATCAAGAGTACATACAATATAAATAAAATGAAGTTACAAAATTCAATGAAATTATTTTGTGCGTCATTTTTTTGTTAAAGCCCTGCAATGATCTAATTTAGTCACTGTTTCTACTAAGCCATGTGTAAAAACATGTAATTCAATGAAAAACAAATCTATGTTAAAGGTAGCTCACTTATCACATGTGTTCAATGTGAATTCTGGGCCAGCTCTCATGATTATGTGACTGAACTGTTGTTTTGCTCCCGTTTCCCCACAGAATTAACACCGCTCAAAGAGAAGGAGTTGAAACCTATTCCTTCCTGTGAATCATCACACGAATTGTTTGCAGGACTCCAGTCAATCACAGATGGAAACCCACTCAAGAGAATAGAGGGGGTTTGGTGGTGTTTATTGGTTAGGGTTTTTTTCTTTACTGGTGGTAATGTGGAAGCAAACTATTTTGCTAAGAAACAGAACAGAAAGCAGAGCGAGTTGGGCAAGCTGATCAGACTTAATTCTCCAAACCTACCTGTATGCTATCAGAATCATTTTGATATGCAGCTTTTAAAATAAAGTCATTTTTCACAGCAAAATAGTATTACTTTTCCTTTGATATATAAAGGACTCAATTCAGTGTTAAAAAAAAATTAATCCTTTGTAATTTTAAGCTGGTTTGTTGCAGACAGTGCAATGGTTCGCCTTGTTTGGATATGTTTGGATATGGGAATTTAATAAAAGTAAATGACCACCAATTCCATCCTCTAAAATACATTCACTCATTCATATGTTCTCTAAATTAAATGTTAAATTACCAGAGTAGGTTATAGTGATAGTAGCCTTTACCTTAATGCATTTTGGTGAAGTCAGTTTGCTTCTGGATTTTTCTCCCACATTGGGACCAACGAAACAACCTCCAGCTTCCACTGGGGAAAGAATAATTCCATAGAACACGTTAAGGGATGGAATGAGAAGACAAAATCCCCATGGACTGTACAGTTCAAGAGATACAAGAGTAACAATAGGTACAGGGCCTCTCCTTTCATGGCAGGGCTTTTAATTCTTACCCCTTTGCAGCTGTAGCAGGCTGTTTTTCCCTGCTAGTAAGGAAGCCTGTGCTCCAGCACTGCTTTTCTACTCGTCTTCATAACTATACGCTGGGCCAAATCTCTTGGCCCTGGGACACTTCAAGCGTCTGTCTTAGTTCTGGGTTTCAGCTGTAGTAGTTCCAGTCTGCAGCTATGTACAACGGTTTGACACCGTGGAGGAAAATACGAGATTCCTGACTCTGTCAGAGAAGGAATCTGTCTATGGTTCAGTTTCATGAGACTTTGCACAAACTCTTAGCTCTTGACCTGTAAACCACAGGGAAGGCTTTGCTTGCCTTCTGTACCAGGGACAGGAAACCTAATTCAACGTCAACTGAGAGATTTACAGAGCTATTACTACCAGCAAGTAGAGGAGCACACTAGGTATATTTTTGTATTTATAAATATACTTTTTTAATATATAAAGATCTATAATATAATTTTGTTACTACAAAACCCCCTGTCCTACTGCTACCAAATTCAGCAGCAAAACTTCAGTGGTAGTGGGACTGAGCCCTAAAAGAGCAAGAAATTATTTGCCATCTTTTATGTTTGTGAGCCAAGGAGCTTATAGCAGCCTAGGAGCTGTTTTAGTCTGCTAGGCCTCCCTTTAGGATTCATATTTAACAGTTTAATATGCTTCCTTCTTTAAGATCTCTTCAGGATTTCAAGAACGTTACATTTGTATGTATGCAAATAATATTACTGGACTAACAACAAATGCCCAGCAGTATTTCCCACTCAGTCTTCTCTCCCAACTAAACCTAATTTGGCTCAGATGAAGATAATGGAGGAAAAACAAAAAGTGATATACAGCCAGCATGAAGAAAGAATTGGGCCTACACACTGAGAGCTGTATCAGTTTCTGATTATCACCACCACTCTATCTCCTCATACTGAGGTTCATACTTCTCCCAGTGGAAACAGGGAAAAAACACTTCAACTTGGTATTCCTCTTAGCCTTGTATTATTTCAGTTCTTGACTCAAAAATATATGGTATTGTACTTCAGCAGTAGAATGGGTTCAGACGGATGGTAGGAAAATGCACACGGAACCATCTCAAAAGCCCAGCTGGACACTGGGAGAAACATTAAAAACATGGGGCAGAGAAAAGCGAATCAAACGGGAACCAAGAACTACACAAGAAGACCTGCTGATGGGGAAAAAAAAAGAGTTTTAGAGAGACTAACCTTACATTTATTCCCAGACTTATAGTGTATGAAAAAAAACCCCCCACAAATGAAGATAATTGAGAATTACAAAGGAAAAGGGAGAGTAAGAAGAGAGATGAGAGATGACAGGAAGAAACTGAGGTAGTATCTCTAGTACAGGAGGAACAAAGAACATCCACAAGTGACAGCAAAATCCTACAAAAAAAAACTCATTTAGAATGAATAATTTTTTTCAATATATAAATTAGTTTATTTTCATTTAGATATAAAAGTTATAAATACAACCCATGTAAAACAGTATCTGATAAAAGAGCACTGAATGAGTTCATCTGTCCGCATAATTTGACTGAGACCCAGAGGCCCCGCCCCTGCTAGGATCATCTGATGTCAACAAACAGCTTGAGGAGCCACTGCTGACAAGCCTAACTGAAAGGGTGAGTAAAGGGATGCTACTGTGGCCTTCTGACCACAGAGCAAATAATGTTGAATTGGAAATTAGCATTCTACCTACAGGTACCCCCAACTAACATAAGGCAGTTTCTTTCACACAGTCCTGGTGAGAAAAAATAATCGGATCGGTAGCAAATTGACTTAGTTTTTGTGGATGGGTAGAGGGAATGCAGAGCCGTCAGCCAAGAACTCAGAAGGGGACCATTGGAAAACTGCCAGGTCTTGTCCCCAGCCTGATGAGCAGGAAGGACACGAAGGCACAAGAGAGATCCATGACTCAAGTTCTCTTCGCCCAACTGCTCTGCTGTCTGACGAGGTCATCCCAAGACAATGGCTCACCAGTCAATGCAGAATGGGCATCTGAGAGAGACGCAAGCTGGAGTTCTCCGCATCGATTCATAATTTACAGTTAAATACAGAGTTTACACATGATTACCATCTTTTTTTCCCCTGGATATATCAGAAAATGTCTTCACAAAGTTTCATTATTTTGAAAAAGCAAGGGATACATACTACTGCAAAGACTCCAGAGACCAAAAGCAATAAATCTGACTCTTTGGAGCATGAAACAGAGTTAGTCTGCTGACAACGACAATATTCAAAGCTGAACACCTATTCTTGTCTCCATTAGAGGGATAGAGTTTTCCAGTATCATCACAAATACGCATAACGGCCATGAAACAGGCAAGATAGTAACTGTTCTCTGCTTCAGTGCACAGCAGACGTGTACACTATACGGCTTACATGTCAGTGTGCAGCCATTCGCTCCAGTGATCAAGGCCATACGAATCAAGAAGCGTTTCATGCCGTGACCTAAAGTCTCCATATTGTACATCCAGCATTAAAAATGGAACACTGGAAGGACACATTGCAAAGCCCCATGAAACTTACTGATGCCTTTGAAAACACCTGTAATCTCCTTTTGAGGTAACTCGTCCTCATAGTCAGGTTAGAATTATTTACATAAAATCTACTTTAATGTCATGACTTGACATAATCTCACGTTAAAAAATATGAAATCAGTCACCAGCTTGTTCCTATAAATGTAGTGAATTTTACAAGCTGGGCAAATTAAAAAGTATTTCCAACTGATTGAATCTAAACAGTAAGCCAATTGGAACACTGCTTTCCAGGAACAGTACTGTATATTGTTACAATACTACCTTCTGCAGAATTCAATCAGATTCTATCACCTATTCAGTCTCATTTTTCACATGGTTAAGAATGACAGAAACAGCAATGGATATACCACCAACTAAAAGGGAGCATTTGAGATGTGATTGTTCTTTATTTGATAAAAAGACTGTCAAGGGATATGGAGCAATTGGAATAATGAAAGGGAACTGGACTATCAGCCTCAACAGAGAATCATCCCACAGAGCAATAGAAAAGTGTTTTATCAGAGCCAATGTCTTATTCCAGCTTCGTATTTGTCAAACATCACCTGCAGTTGCACAGAGCCATAACCGGAATTCTGTGCCTGACTGTTGTAGCAGGCAGCACAATGCTACACGGGCCAAAAGAGAACACATGCCAATAACTGTCCTCCTTCTTCTGAATTCATCTGATCAGGAACTCTGATCAGATCACTAACATCATCTCCAGGGGCACTGTGGAAGTTCCAAGGTATATGAACACTAAACCATTACTTTTCTAATCCTAGCTGCAAGGGGTTCCAATTAGTGGGCGAAACGCCTTAGGCTGCTCTCATGCAGCATCCATTACAAGGATTCTAAAGGCAGAATCAACATCAACAACAAAAACACCACCCATATTCCTTGCTCTTTCACAATGCATACAGAGACTGCTCAGTCTTGGTACAGTCCCCTAAGATGGTCTGCTGGCAAATACCATAATGCTCTGAGGCCAGGTAACTGCTTTCTAGTAAGCCTGCAGAGGTCTGTCCTCCAGTTCCCTTCCATCCCCAATGTGCTTTTCATTACTCCATCTGAAACTCTTACAACAAGCTGCAGGGATGGGAGCGAGTTCCATGTTTCAAGTCTCTTATTCACAGGCCAATTTACTATCAAAGCTGGAGAGTCCAATAGCAAAGGCCTGAAGAGCACAGAGAGGATAATTATAGTCCAGAGTGAACACATCTTCTGCTACACGACCAAACTGCATCACAATGTAGTCAGCTGGGGAGAAAAGAAAAATTCAGACCCAAACAATTTCACAGTGAAGCAAAAAAAACCAAACCCACAACAAAACCAAACACAAACAAAAAAACCACACGTCTGGCAGTCCCAGATATGTGTGGTTGGTGTATTCATCCTTTCTCACCACAGTGGTCTTGAAATCTGTTCTCTAGAGTGACTGTGTTATTCTAGAGATTACCTTTCTTCTCAGAACCAAAGCTCAAACCACTCTTTTCCTGGGCTGAAGGTGGTACAGTAGTCCTTTTCTTTACCCTCAGGAAGCTTGCATTTCTCCCCTCCTTTGCTGCATCTATGGACAGCAGTCTCTGCACCCACCCCAGAAAAAGGGAGACCTTATAAAATTTTTTTGGCAGCTGAGAAGTCCCCAGTAATCCTGAGCTGAATTCCTCCACCCAGTCTCCCTTCTCCAGCAAGTGTGTCCTATGCTTCCCAAACCTCATGAAATAAATTGGGTTCTCCCTGTTTGAATAAGCCCCGCACACTCTCCACCAGACTCTTACGGTCATTGTCATGGACAATCTGGAAGTTCTTCACTGAGGCCTGAGTGACTCTCCCGTGGAAGTTCAAAACATAGGATTGAGTATCATCGTTCCAGACTGGAGCCTTGTTGTGCAGCTCAATGAGGTTCTCTAGATTTTTGGTTTGCCATTTTGACAGCAGACTCTCACGTTCCTGTTCAGAAGAAAGAAATATATTAATCAGATTTAGAATGTCTCTGCTTTTGAGTACTGCCTCTCTTGCGTGTGTGTGCTCTGTCACTTGAAGGTCATTCCCTGTTTAATGAAACACAATGACAGCACTTAAACTCAGTCCTACTGAAAGTTTCCTGCAAGTATGAGGAAGATACTTTCATACATTCCCAGTCCAAGCATTCCTCTCTACTCAATATGCTATCACCATATTTCCACCCAAACACAAGAAAAAAAAAAAAAAAAGAGCGAGAGAGAAGGAAGTATGTGTACAGGAAAGGGAGCAATTCACTGGCCACAGATGACTGCCATCCTGCTGGCAGGAATCTTTTCCGAGTCTCAAAGTTTCTCTGATTCTGTTGGATCCAACTTCCATTTCTAACATTCTAAACTTCGAGACAAAAGAAAATAATCTACAATTAACGGCACGGTTCCAGGCCCTGGGGTGCATCAGTAGAAAGTCCAAAGGCTGCAGCGGGCTCTAAGTATGCCCTAAGTAAATGTCATCCTATTGGGTCTAATAAGTGATGCACAATATGAAAAACAGAGAGAAATAAAATCAAAAAAGGTACAAAAAGGAGGTAAAACAGCACATTAAATTTGACAAACAGAATGAATCACAGGGAGTTGCAAATAGTAGTGAGTGAAACACGTGACATAATTTAATTTTAAAAGTTCTGCAACAAATAAAATCCAAATTGAAATAGCGTACGCTAAAACTGACAAGAAAAATAATCCAAACTGAAGTTACTTAATGTGAAAAAATGATCAGAAAACAACCTATTGTGGAGGTCTGACTGATATGGCTACAGTAACTGTTTCAGTATTCTATACAGATATGATAGTGGATTTTTGAGGATAACCTAAATAAAACTTACTGTTCAGTTTAAACTAGTTATTTTACATTTAGATGCCATTTTTTCTCCTTTAAAGTGGGGGCAGGATTGTTTAATTGGAGGCACCACACTACCGAGAAGGAAGACAGAAACAGAGTCAAACCCCTACACTGAAAGCTTTGCCAGCTTTTCAGAAGAGCTTTGTGTTTCAGCCTTGTCCGCTTTCAGCATGCTTGCCTGCTAGCAAAACAGTTGGGAAAACAGGGGAGGAAAATAAAGGCAGGGCCATGGAATCATTACTGTACTGACAGGGGAGATGGCAATATCAACTGAAGGATGATGAATAAATGACCACCTCCAGATACAATTTTCCTGCCCATTCACAAAATTAAGCCTCTTTTCTAGGCTCTCATGACTCTGAATTTCCACTCTTGAAGATTATTTTCTATGACCTCAACAAATACACTCTTGTCCTATTCATATCTATTCACAACATGGCTGCAAATACCATTTTCTAGCTTAAAACACTGATCATGTCTTTCGGTTGGCACCTGCCCTTCCTGCCTCTTGGTCTTCTATCACACCAAACATAAAACCCACACTAAGGGAACTGAACGATTTTGATCATACACCTTAATATATCTTCAGATACACTTCTGTAAGCTTTTAGCTATCATGTCCCCCATACATGTGAGTAATCCTCACTAAATAGTCTACACAAAACTTCATCCTCCTCCTCATCCCACTTTCTCCTCAGATAATCCTCTTTTCTACGATTCCTACAAAGAGAGCATTTTGATCAAAAACATATGTACTCTCTTGCTACTACACCAAAATACCATCTTATCTGTTTATTATCAATCTGTTGTAATTCATGTACTAGCCAAGGATGTAAGCTCCTGGGAGAAGCAAGTTTCTTCTGCGTTCATCCAATTCTCAGCGTAACAGGGTCCCACCCATGAGGAAGGGTTGTAGGTGCAACAGCAACAACATACACTAGCTGTTGCAATAGCTAAGTAAATAATATTTAAGCTGATCAAAGGACAAGTAAGGATACAAACACTATTCAGAAGGCTAAAAAATAGGTAAAAGGCAAGAACAAATTAATCAAAACCTTTAGGCTACGTTGTATTTACTCTCCATGAGACTTGCTAAAGTGCCGAGTATTAACAACCTTGCTCTAAAAACTGTGATTGTCAGTAACGCTCGGACCTCTACAAGAAAGTTTTAACCTCTTTCTCCAATCCGAAACATGACCAAACTCCATAACTCACGTTTCGTGGACGGATTGGAATTCGCTTATTATTCATGTTCATTCCTGGAATGATCACAGACATTTTTCTGGGACCCTTGAATCCTAACACATTGGTTTCCTGAAAGACAAGGAAAGACATTATTTTCAGTAATGAGATACTCCACCTCAAAGAAGGAAAGACAGCAAAACTGAACTTCCATCCACATTTATATTGGATTTGAGAGATTTGCTAGCTACAACTGTAGTAGCAGTTATCTGACTGCAACTGCAATCACAGAGAGTATCTTCCTCTCCCATTTTGAGAACTGTGTTAAAAGACATACATAGTATTACCCAATTTAAAGCACATCTGTTACCCTAATGAAACATTTATAATGAAATTGACAGTTGAACTTGATGATCTTAGAGGTCTTTTTCAACCTTAATGATCCTATGGTTCTATGAAATCAGACAAGTGCAATTTCCAGGCGTAAGTTTTTGCATTTGAGGCAAAAACATGCTAAAAACCTTGCCAGTGAACAAACCTTACGTATGATAAAAGGCAAGTATCTCTGACCTGAGTCTATGTTATCTATATATCACCATTTAGGCTAAAATGTTCCTGAAGAATGGATGACATTCTTCTTTAGGTGCTGTTATTTGTGTTTAAGAGCATACCTACAATTTTCTCCCCAATCATGCTCTTTTATAAATGATTAAGAACAGACCCAGAAGGCAAAGTATTCGGCATCTGTCCGAGCTTCAATCTTAAAACAAGCATTTTCTTCCAGATTATTGCAGGAGACTGCCCCAAGTGGACTGGGTATAAAAAGCACAGGAAAAAGTCTTGGGATTCCCAAACCTTCCATTTAATAACGTCAACCAAAATCCAAGGGTCCATTTAAAGTGTTCTGTAACAATGTCAGTGATAACCTTTAAAATTCCCAAAGACTAATTAAAAAGCCAGAATCTTTCAGACGTACTGAATTGATCGATAGAAGTGATACAGCTTCTCCTAACATGCTGGTGCATTTTGCAGACAAGACACAGAACAAAGGTCTCTGGCATCGCAACCTCTGTTATTTCACTTCAGAAAATCTAGGGGCACATACGAGAATCAGGGTACTGATTTTATTCATCTATTATCTACAAGAAGTTAATAAAGTTTAAAGTTCAGAAGTCTGAAAAGCTGACTTTCTGTTACCTGCTGTACTCATTTTAACACCTTGCTGTGTACAGTTAGGTAGGGAACTGAAGAATACTGTAAGCAAAGAAAATATCCAGTGACACTTCCATAAACAGGCCAGTACTGGAATTATCACATCAATTTTTTTCCCAAGTGTCAGTAAGATCAACAGAAAAAAAAAAAAAAATATCAAGATCATGCTCCAGTAGGCTAATGCGCCTTTAAATTTCTGCTGCTGTGCCTTTAAATTTCTGCTGCTGTGCTTATGATAAAAGTAAAAATCCTTCCACTTGACTTGGCCATCATTTGTCAAGAGTTTTACTCAAACTTTAGGGCTGGAATATGAAACAATGTGAGGTGAGAACCCTCCATAATTCTAGAGTGGCCACAATGCCTCCTCACTCTGAAGCCTAGACCAAGGTGATCCACAAGACCTGAAGAAGAAAACGTCTTCACGATGGAGCTAGCAAATCACGGTTTCCCCTGGAACCACATCCCTACCAACAATAAGCTGCTACTGAAATAATACCAGCTCCTTCCTATCCACCAAAATGCCTTTAGTTCTGCAAAAAAACCCTCTGCTTCACAGGGTACTCCCAGTTCCTCCTTAGTGTCCACCAGATACCAGCTGGGCAAGAGGCAGTTCATGCTGTGGCTGGCTCCACATAGAGGATATGCTGGCTGGCCATACGCTGAACGATAAGCCAGGTAAGAAGATCATCAGGGCGTAAGCTTGGGTCTCTCTCCCCCTCCTGGCACTGATTTCTGGTGTGTCGTCGTCCAGTCCCCCCCCAACTTGTAAGAACTTCTGTTTGAGGCCTCTGCCCTTTGCTGTAACTGGTTGAAATTGGTCAGTTGGTTCCAAAATTAAGTGGGAGAGGCTGCCGGGCAGCATGATTTTGTAAGCCCTCTTTCCTCAGTAACAACGCAACAAAAAAGGAAGGGGCAAAAGGGGAGAGGCAATACTTACATAACAAATGGCTGCAAGCTCCTGCCTCGTATGAGCCTTTTCCACAAGATCTTGTGCTTTGAGTGGGCTAAATCCACGGTTATAGACTGTAAATTTAGTTCCCATGAGGTTTGACCTAATGTCAGGTTATGGAAAGACAGAGAAAGAGAGAAGCATCAGTGGAAAGTTTTGTCATCTGCTGAAGGTATCTGTACAGCGCAATAAAACACACATCTCCTGCAATCTGAATCTTCCTATCGCCAGCTCACTGAGGAGCTTCCACAAAGTGGCTGTAGTGAACTAAGCCTGTAACCTATCCTGGAACAGCATCAAGCCAGCATTCCTTCTCTGAATTGCCACGGCCAACGGTAATGCTTAAAAAAAGTTGCCAACCCAGATGAATACGGATCACATTAAGCAGGACAATGTGAGTTCCTTCTCTCTGCATTGATACCGGATTGCTATTCATCGCCCTAACTCCACCAAAATCAAAAATCCAGTCTCCCCCGTCTGTAGTTTTCATCTGTGGTTCTCACCTGAGTTTTCCAATGTAGCTTTCCCCTCCTCGGGATAAATCAGTTGGGTCAACTGATATGAGGTAATTGGATGTTTTGCTCTTTTTTCGTTTTCTCCCTGCAAGAAGGAATGTCTGGAAATACAAAACTTTGATCAAGACTGGAGCTTTGTAAGAATGCAGAGGCACTGCTATCCAAACTGTTCTCTCTCCATTTCCCACATCCTTTGCCCCTTTTTGTTCTGTGCTGTCATTATTACTGTCTCCACAGTTTTGATCCCTTCCACAAGTGCACACCTTGAAATCCGGTCCCTCCAGTCAGCTCACTCAGCAGTCTAGATTTAATTTAACTGTCCTTTCTAGTTTTCCTTCCTTTTCTTCTGGAGCAGCTCAGTTGCCCTGCTCTTCTTTATCCTTGACATTTTTATACATTTTTAATTTCATCTTTCACTGTATTATGGCTTTTAAACCTGCCAATTCCCTCCTTAGCGCCTTGGCCAAACATAAGCTGTCCTCATCTGCATGCTGGCTCTCCTCAGCTTCTGGCTTCTTACCAGAAGCCTTCCATTAAACCAAAAATATTCTGTGGCAGGAGTACCATAGCAAAGATACTGTGTGCTGCTTCCAATACCTTTCTGTTGTCATCCCTTTCAAGATGCATGTAGTAAGTAGGGAAGAGGCCCCTGTCCATTCCCTTCTTATCTCTAGTGATTCGACACTTGACTGTAACACCACGGGGTGCAGGGCGTAATGCAAAATCCTCCAGGTTCTCGACTTCTCCCAGCTGTGCATCTGGCTGAGTGGATGGACTACAGGAAGCACCTGTTTCCTGTGGGAAGAACCAACATATTAGCAAATTAATATCAGATCAGAGGCTCTGGTATTCCCCAAGAAAAGAAAGGTCTGTTGAAACAGAAGATCTCATGCCTCAAGAAGATATTTGGGAAAGGGAAGTTAAATGAGAGACCACCTGTGTTTCTCTGAGGAGTGGCTGAAGACTTTTACTCTGAGGAAAGACTAGCCCTCCAAGGGGAGGGGAGAAAAAGTACCCATTAACCAGAGATGACCGAATTGCTAGGAAGGGGAAAATAGGATGAGACATTGTAAACATCCTAAGCAAAGTGCCTCTCTTCTATTAGAACTTCAAACACTCAGTGGGAAATAGGCAGCATGATAAGCTGGACTGATGGATGCTGCAATAAGACAGGTTGGGATTTTTGTAACTGAAATGGGCACTGAGATTATGTTGGTTCAAAATAGTAGCAGAAACAGAGTAAGCTGACGGTGGAACCATCTCAACTAAATGCTGAAGAACCTTAGAACAATGTGTAGAGTCAGGATGCGAGTTATGGTCACCAAAGGAAGGCTAACAGAAATCTGGTTATTTGATGGTCATTAAAGTAATTTTTTCTGAGAGGTAGCTGAATTCTGTGGATTGTAGGACCCTGGAGATTCTTCTCTTACTGGGCCCTGGAGATGAGGTTGCTGTTTTATCCCCATTCCCAGGTACGGCCAGTAGGAAGTCTGAGTGAATACACACAGAGACACACACACAGACTTCAAGTGCACTAGTGGCTGTCACCCCTCCCTGCCTCCAGCAGCCCCCACCCAGTATCTGCAGCAGCTGGCACCCATAGCCCAGTCTCCCAAGCAGCTAACACCCAGCCCTCTTGTACTATTCACCCACTAGTGTAGCACAACATACACACAGTCACTTCACAGATTCACAAGGGTCTTCTGAATAGTAGCACAGACTTCTAAGGCTGTCCCGCATCCACGCCCAAACCCTGTGCCCTTTATCTGGTCACTAGCTCAGACCCTGGGTCTTCCTGGTGCTAATCTCTTCCAAGTCACTGGCTAGGCCACCATACAGTTTGTCAGCATATATATGTACGTACGTATGTATCTCTCTCACACACATACAAGAACACGTTCACACAGGAAATAGTCAGAAATGGAGTTTTAGAAGATGGTAGGACATGCTGCAGCAATCACACACAAGGCTTGTCCAGACAAGCAGAATGTCTTGCAGCTGTTCACATGCATCTGGTGCCTTTTACCCCCTTTACTCCCTATTTTCCCATGCTTATCACTCCCTGATCCACCCTGACCCCTTTCTTTTCCCTTCCCCTAAACACTGTCAAAAAGTTTGGACCAATTCCAGAATTCTCTGTTCCATCCCTATATTCTGTTACCCCTTGCATCCCACAATAAATGCTATAAACCTCCAGGCAGTGATCCCCCTTAAGTCTGCATGGCATTTCAGGGTTTCTCTGAGTCATCTCGGTGGATGTTACACCAGAGACAATGGCCTAATCTGTCTCCTTTGAGGGTCACAGCAGTGGCTGATCCATTGTGTTCCCATCTTCACTGATTAGGCTACTGGGGTTCCTCCGCCCACCGTTGTTCCTTTGATCATTACTAGGTCTTTGTGTTTAACTCAGCAGCCCTTCAGTCAGATAACCTGACAATCATGACCCTTTCTCTGCCTTCAGGGATTAACATACTAGCTACTGTAGTTGCAACTACTATATTTTAACCCAGTGCTCAAGCGGTTAGTACTAAAACCAAGCGTGTGCCCAGCCCTTAACAGAAACGGATTTCAAGACACTTACTGCAAAAGATTTCTCGCTGGTTGCAGAGCTAGGCCTCTCGGATTCAGGCGAATGAGATGCTGGTGTCTTACTAGCTTCTTCCTCTTCTGTGTCCTCCTCATCAAAATTCAAACTGCCTGAAATGCCTGTCAGAATACAGGATCAAGCATGTAACCTCTGAAAGGAGGTGTCATGAGTTCAGGGCATCACTAATTCATATATGACGCTTGCATAGCTATCCTGCTCTTGTTCTTTTAATTCATTTTCTGTTGTTTCAACTGCTAATTTTCCTCATGTGCTATACTGCTTCCTGAGCCTTGTAATTCAAACCCCTAAGTGACATTTTGCAACTGTGCAGATGATTAAGCAGTTGTCAGGCTTTTATTGATACACATTTTACACGATGTTACATGATGTAACATATCGCTTAGTATATGCTGTCATCGAGTTAATTTTGCCTATTTTCATGAAAAAAAGCCCTCCATGTCTTAAGGACAAGAAAAGGAAATCCAGATCAATACGCTGACACCTATCCTGTAAGTTGGACTCTATACAGTTTACATCTTTTACCATTTCTCCTTTGTCTTACACACACTGAAATGGAGTATGATAATTTTTCAGTAAGAGCTCCTCAGTAGCACTAACTCAGGTCTCATGAATACTACTAATGCTTTGATTTACAAAACGGAAGCACAGACTGAGTAGTTCCAGGACTTATTTATTTAATCTTAACCTAAACACAGTTATGTAGAGATGACTGTGGCTATGTAACTAAAACAACTCTAAAAAAAGACATTTATAAAGAGTTTCCGTACACATCACTGTTTGGTGTTCCCTTCCACTTGGAACTGCATCATTTTGTTCTGTAATTCCATTCTTTAATTTGGCTGTAGAATGGAAAAGCACATAAAGCACTATAGAAAATGAACGCACTCAGCCTGCTAAGCTGAATTATTTTCTGAGAGCCAATATTATAACACTGCTCCAGCATGGCACTGGATAGAAGGGGCACTGCTGGAAGTTCTTTGTGTCAGATGAAAAACGTAGTCTTAACAACCTGTCAGTAAACTTCTCAAAGCACATTTGGAAAGAGGAAAGGCGTTAACCCTAGTACTCTGGCCAATTTCAGAATTCACTGTTTATGTTCTACCTCCACTGATTTCCCCTGAAGTTTCTGGATATTCTCTCCTGCTTCCTTTCCTAACTCATGTGTCACGTTGCTATCCATGCGTAAGCAGCTGTTGCATCTGACAACTGAATGGAAGTATTTCTACATATGGTAGTACCTCAACAGATAAAGTGTACTGGAAACATTCTGGGAGACAGGCTTTACAAAATAAAAACAAGCTGTGTACCGTATTAAACACTAGCCATTATTTTGTGCAAGGTCTTAGGCTGCATGCAACAAAAAAGGTTTCCTGTGGTACTGGCAGCAACATAAGATACTTGGCAGACAGCAATGGACACTCCACTGGGAAACTACTCAATGGGATATAACTATTGAATATAAAACTCTAAAACTGTCGATTGTGACAGCCTCTGACTCAGGAACAACACCTTTCCTGTTAAATTACGGCATTTACTGGCTATAGAGGGTTCTGCTGTTGTGAAAATATTCATGCATCATATCCAGATATAATGTATCTGGAATAAAAATACCCTGAACTTTTGCAAAAAGTCAAGTATAGAATTTTGTCACCAGCTTCCTTGGAAAGGCCAGAAATTATACAGCACATTGATAAATCTTTAAAACATAACTGGTACATTCCAATTAATATCAGAAGAAGGGACTGCAGCTCTGCATTTCTACATGCTGCAGAATCTACTAGGTCTGTATCTAAAAGTAATATCCTACAGACACTTGTTTCATGATTCCTCATATTTTTTAGTTTTTTTAATGCTACTGAAAAAAATTACTACAAGTAGAAGTGCCCTGAAAAAGACCTTTGCCCATTATCAATGCATACCTCGTTTCTGTAAGATTTCTTGCAGATCTGGCTTGCCTGCTGTGTCTGTTACAGCCTCTCCATCATTTTCCTCATCTGTACTGTCTTCTGTTTTGGAAGATCTAACAGAAAGAGTTTGGAGCTTGGTCCCCAAATTTTGCACTTCAGACTTCAGGAAAGCTGCTGGTCCATCTATGCCTGCAGGCCAAAATGAAACAGAATGCTAAAGTCTATTTTTTAGGTCTAAAGACACATCCCAGGATGGTTCTTTTCATCTTCCCTTGCTCAAGCATCCCTTTGAAGGAGAATCATAGAATGGTTTGAGTTGGAAGGGACCTTATAGATCATCTAGTTCCAACCCCCCTGCCATGGGCAGGGACACCTTCCACTAGACCAGGTTGGTCAAAGCCCCGTCCAACCTGGCCTTGAACACCTTCAGGGAGGGGGCATCCACAGCTTCTCTGGACAACCTGTGCCAGTGTTTAATCACCCTCATTGTAAAGAATTTCTTCCTTATATCCAGTCTAAATCTACCCTCTTTCAGTTTAAAGCCATTACCCCTTGTCCTTTCACCACACGCCCTTGTAAAAAGTTCCTCTCCAGCTTTCTTGTAGGCCCCCTTCAGCTACTGGAAGGCTGCAGTAAGGTTTCCCCGGAGCTTTCTCTTCTCCACGCTGAACAGTCCCAACTCTCTCAGCCTGTCCTCACAGGAGAGGTGCTCCCGCCCTCTGATCATCTTTGTGGCCCTCCTCTGGACTCACTCCAACAGGTCCATGTCCTTCTTATGTTGGGTGCTCCAAGCTGAACGCAGGAATCCAAGTGTGGTCTCACAGAGCAGAGTGGAGGGGCAGAATCACCTTCCTCAGCCTGCTGGCCACGCTTCTCTTGATGCAGCCCAGGACACAGTTGGCTTTCTGGGCTGTGAGCACACACTGCCAGGTCATGTTGAGTTTCTCATCAACCAGCACCCTCAAGTCCTTCTCCTCAGGGCTGCTCTCAATCCATTCTCTGCCCAGCCTGTATTTGTGCTTGGGAGTGCTCCGACCCATGTGCAGAACCTTGCACTTGGCCTTGTTGAATTTAATGAGGTTCGCACAGGCCCACTTCTCAAGCCTGTCAAGCTCCCTCTGGATGACATCCCTTCCCTCTGGCACGTCGACTGCACCACACAGCTTGGTGATGTCGGCAGTCTTGCTGAGGGTGCACTTAATCCTACTGTCCATGTCGCTGACAAAGATGTTAAACAGCGCCAGTCCCAGTACTGACCCTTAAGGAACACCACTTGTCACTGCTCTCCATTTGGACATCGAGTCATTGACCACAACTCTTTGAGTGTGACCATCCAGCCAATTCCTAACTCACTGAATGGTCCATCCATCCAATCCAAGTCTCTCCAATTTAGAGATGTAAACATCTCTAGACGTACTGACGTATAGTTGTTCAACTTTTGTCAGGAGACTTGGAAAGAATCGGGCCTGACTCTGGTACAGACCGCCTATTACTTTAAACATATCAGGCATCAGTTTCTCCATTCATAAATATAGTTATTGTATCTACTTTTTTACAAGGGCTTAAGCAATTAAAACAAATTGCATTTGTCATGCATACTGATATCATTCAATTTATTTATGGGCAACTACTCTATTTTCTTTTCCTTCAGGTTCCTTGTTTGCTCCTGTGCCAATAAGCAACCGCTCTACAGTGAGCATCACAAATCCATCTGATAAAAATATATACAGCCACAGGCCAAAAAAACCTGTAAATGGATGCCCTCTATCTTTTTGGTAGAAATGAATTTTCCATGTTTAAACATGCAACACAGCTGTGCACTGCACTCTGTAATTGGAGGCGACATCTTGATGTCAGGGTCTGGCATAACACTTCATAGATATTTGTGTAGCACACAATATTTAAGTGTAGTTCTAGCTTTGGATTTCTTGCTTTCCCACTGTTTTCCTTCTTATAACTTTATTGCTTTATCTAGTTCTCACATTTCTGAGATGTTTACTGCTGTTATCACGTATTATCAGAATCTGTTTGTACCGAGGAAGCTTCAGAACTATGGAAGCTAGCGAGGGAGCAGTTAGTTTTCACTGCAGGTAGTTTTGGTTTTTCTTTCTTATAGTTTCAGTACTACCGAAGTTTTCCAAATCAGAAGTTATATTAATCTTTTCTCTCACTCTCTTTTTGACTTAAAAGTATCTCTTAACAGAAGCTTCCTCCCACCTCATTTTGACACATAAATGCTACCATCCACATCACCACTCTCCTCCCCATCCTATGATCCTGAAAGACAACTGGAGAACAAGAAAACATTCAAAAGGCAGGGGATAACAGTTCCAAATGTGATATGTAACACTGGTTTGTTTGGGTTTTTAAAATTCTACTCTACACATTAATTCCCTGTTAATATAATGCCAGTATTGTAACATCCTGCTATAGCATGCATCTCAAAGTCTTAGAATGTTTCCTGTTACTTTCTTGACAGGCTGATGGGATCTTGGCTCTCAAACTACTTCCTGACACATCTGCTGGAATGCAGGGGTTTCATTGCTGCTCTTTTTTTCCTCCCTGTGATATGCAAGTCTTAAGGCTCTCACTACTGTATTTGTTTTCACTAACAGAATGGTCAGTATTTCACTGTAATATTTTGAGACCACTGAGTTATTGCCTTTGGCTCTGATATCACTTTGTGCTTGTCACCTTCTGGACCACTACAGATTGTTTGTCATGTTTCAGCCCACCGAAAACAACAGATGAGCTAAAAAACAGCAAGAACCTAATTCAGTACTCAGAAGACTTTTGTCTTGCTCTTGTCTACTTTATCATTCAGTCATATGCAATCTTGAGATAGAGTAATGCCATGATACCATGAAGAAAAGTACAGGCAGTCACTACTGGATTATTTCCTTTTCTTTATCATACAGCTTCAGAAGACTCTCTTACTCTGGATTTGTATCTCCCTACCTTTATAGAAGTTCCTCACCCATTTCTACAGTTCTTCCTAGCCTAACACAAGGCAGAGATGACTCAAAAAGCTCATGAAGCTTCTCAGCTGTCAAGCAAGGTAAGGTTTTTGTTTGTTTTTACAGTTCAGTATTGCTCAACCACCCTGTACTACAATTCTACTTCTGTACATAGAAAGGTGTGTAATCAATCTTGTTTATCACTTGATCACTGTCACAGCAATGTAGGTGCCCATCTGTGACGTAAAATGCATGCACTGACATTTTGGGGAACATTGTTGCAATCAGGTTGATTACTTACCGTGTAACACAACATCACTGTGGAAAGAGGTAGGAGTTTCTACTAACGGAGTCTGCTCCTCACACCTTTTGGGTTTTGACCTATGCAGCTTTGCCTCAGGATTTGACTTTACCATCAAAGGATCAAGACGTTTCCTCCTCTGCTTCTTCTCTAGCAGAGCTCTCTGTGAAACAAAGAAAAAGCATGAAATAAGGATGAGTAACCACATCCAGAGATGCAGAAGCCATGCCTCAGCCATTGGCAATGACATGTCACCGATCAGGATCTCCAATAAACCTGAAATATGCTTGTAATCCCTTACAAAAATCCTAGATGCGGATATCACTTTGTCTTTGGAGTGAGACATTGCCTTTGATTCTGTGTCAGTGGCTGACGGGTGATGTGGACACCTTTTTATTTTCTGATCTGTCCTGAGACCATCAACAGATAATTTTAAATTTTAACTCCTTCCATCCAGTCTAAACTGCAGCAATCCTTAATATAAACGGACCAATCAGCCGTCATTTATAATCCAATATGAAACATTTCACAAAGTAAATTTTATAATATACAGCATGTTCATGTGATTTTATTACTCCATGTATCCTACTTACTGAAGCTGATAAAGTAGAGAGAACAAGGACTCTCTGCTCTTTCCACTCCAGTTGTGATGGGACTAAACATTCCACCATTTAGGACAACATCCTCTGCACACAAGAATGTATAATTTTTCCTCCTCATTTTGTACAATTAAGCTAACTTTGTATTAAAAGAACTATCTCCAAGAATATCTGAAAACGCCAGAGTAAAGATGAGAGCCCTTCCCCTATGTATTACATGGCAATTAAGTCTTTTACTGTATTAGCATAACATTTCTAAAAATCCTTAATCAGGGCTCACTCTGCCATTTCAGTTATAAATCCTGTCACAATGCGGCAAAAGCAAGTCAGGACTTACAAAGAAACAGTAAACCCAAATGTTAAAAAATAAAACATTGCTTTTCCAACTTACATACACATTTGACGCTTATGATTTCCTACTGAAAAAGAATAGAAACAACTTCTAGACTTAGATCAAGGCAAATGGGGACATTGCACCATTTTAAAGATAGCCATGCCTAATCCTCAAAAGTTAAGGTGATGCACAAAGAATAAGGAAAAATCATATTCTAATATTCTGTAATGCACCACTATGCAAACAATATGCAAGCCCCTTGCGGTAGATGCAGTTTATGCATGCTTGCTTCTTAGGTACCTGAACACCCCTGAAAGCTGTTCTTGGTGATAGAAACCCTCTCTCCATCTAATTCCTTTCAGGCTCCAAGGACCCGTCAGATGAACGATACCAACAATTCAATCCACCTGAGACACAGACGTCTTTGGAACCCTTTCCTCTCCTGTTACGCTTTTTCTTTCTCTCGTTGGTTCTTCCCTCTCCTATTAGGCTTTCTCTCTCTTAGTTTCTCAGACAACCTCTCCCTGAGGAACTCAAACACAACTCAGCCCTTGGTCCTTTATTCTTTCTGCTTTTCAAGCACTTATCTAAAAATACTCAAAGAAGACAACACCAAACAAACAAAAGAAAGAATAACATCAACTAAACTAAACTGACTTTTTTTATTTAAACTCATAATTACACTTTGAAGAATGGACTGCAATACAGGTACTGTTTATTACTGCAGAATTACTTGCAAGGATTGTCCTGCAGGGCAAAAATTACATAGAATTACAAAGAGATTATCACATCGGTCTAGAATAAGAAAGGAAAAATAAGCAGAAGTCAAATTCTTAGAAAAACGCTAATTACAGATTAAATTTGTTGTCTAGAAAGGCAGTCAGACCCTCCAGAAGAATTGGTTTGTGTTTGTTTGTTTGTTTTTTAAATTAATGCTGCGGAAAAGTAAAAAAATTTTGTGACCGTTTATAAATCTCTAATAATTTAAATAAAAGGAGACAGGGAAAACAAGAATCAAAGCATTATACTCAGAATAAGGATTTGAGAAAAATTGTTTCCAAGGCTTCTCTACCTGCCAAATAGACAGACGAGAAAAAAATAAAACAGACACATCCTAAAGGCAATAAGAAAGTACACAGCTACTGCTAGAATGGGAAATTGAATTTGGGACCAATATGGGATACAACAGCTTTCAGACCTACTCAACTGATTATTCCATTAGATGAGTTTTTTAAAAATTTCACTGCTCACCAGTCTAAACTTTTTTTTTCTTATCATACTACATTCTGTTTCATCAAAGAGTTTCTAGGACTCACCAATCCAACAGGATCATATTGGTTTACATTGAAACATATACTTTACTGTTGGTAGATGTGACTGACCTTCTTGCAAGAACTTCAGGATGATCAGTGACAAAACTTGACAATAAATTTGTTTTAAAAAGACTTCTCTCTACTACTTTGCTTACTGAGATGGAAAATATAACAAAAAAAAGAATCTACAAGCCCACTGACAGGACAGATAGTAGCAGTTCATTTTCTCTACATAAGGTGGCAGAGCAGCCTTACCTTCAGTACTATGTATTCTCAAACCTTCCACTAAGATAAAGTAAAAAAAAGGAAACTGTATGTTGTTTCATTTTGCCTACTAACTAGCCTTTTCCTCCAGCTCTGTGTTAAAATTCATAGAATATTACAGCAAAAAAATCAGGTAGTTCATGAACAGGACACCAGAACACATAAGCCATTAAATAAATAATAGATACAGATTATGGTGATTTTTCAGGACTTTATGAACTCCATGTATTAAATACTTTCAGAAACACTTTTTTTGCACCACAGAAAAGCATAACATCAGAATACAGGCCAATTACAGGATCACAAACCACCAACCCCAGTTCTAACGAGTTTCCAACAAGCTAAGAAGTCAGGTGCGTCAGATGAATATATCGTAGCAGACTAAGACAACAACTAGTTTGGTATTCTTTCTGCTACTGTGATGAACAGGAAGATGGTATAGAGGAAGACTCCAGCCACTCCACCCCTGAAGGTGTAATACCATGCTACTTATTATGCTCTTCCAGCTCCTCCTTAGTTCACACTGAGGCAGCAGTGACAATGCTAGTGGTGATGGCACTAACAAAACCGTGTCAAGAGTATACACCATGTGAGGTGCGTTCAGAAATATGCCTTCAGCTTCCCGCTCCCCATGCGCAGGGGGACGGCAGCATTGCACTTGGAGCTGCAGGTGCCTCAAAAGGCATGAAAACATCTTCTGCGGCTGGGGAATTAAGCACTAACAGAGCAGCCGCATGCTTTCTCCTCGAGAAAAAGGCAGCAGCCTAGATAAAAATCATCCTGGCAGGCACAGTTGGCCCACAGATGGAACTTGATGTCATGCATTTTTATAAATAATATTTCACTGCAACTACAGGGTTTCCAAACCCATCATAAAGACAAATGACAGGCATATGTCTTTGCTGTGGCAAATGTCTATTCCAGATTCTCTGTATGGCTGAAGGTGCTAAACGTGATCCTGCTGGATAAAACATTTTGCATTTTTTTAATCCCAATTCCTATAAATGTTTAGGACAAATTAACCAAGTGAGGCATCAGCTACAACCAGTCCGTCATGTCTGGTAGTGATCTCCTGTTGACCTCTATTTCTTCAGAAAGCATGGTACTATTTATGTAAAAGTTAAAAGTGGACTTTCAAAGTTAATATTCAAACCTAAATATACAATCCTTAATTACAGATTTAGCATTTCTCAACAAATCTCATTTGCCAGGAGGGGTGCTGGTGTTAAAATAAGTTTTAGTGAAATTTTCTAACTGTTGGTTTTGCAGATGGTTACAACCTCAACCAAGCCAAGAAAGGCTGAAACAAAATTGCAAAATGTATGAACTCTTTAAACTCACCTCTTCATGATTCAACTGTCAGCTGCTCTGAGGGAATTCCACCCAGCTCGGCAGCTTTGTTTTGGAGGAACAGCAACGCATCCCCACGGCAAGGTCTAAAACTAGGCATACATTGACCACAGTGCCTAACACTAGGAGCCAGTGATTGCTACCGGTTTATGACCGAAGAGAACAGTCCCGAGACAGGTGCTGAGGTTCATCACCAAGCAGCGGTGATGAATTTGTGCTTAGTTTTGGAACTTCTTACTGAGTGGCATGTGGCATTAAATGCTCTTTTACTGATTACTTGAGCAAATGCCTTTTTTTTTTCTTTTTCCTTTTTAAAGCAGGTGTTACTGGGTAGCCTACAGGTAAAAGGCTTATCCTAGCTTCCACAAATATGAGCAAAGATAAATTTTACTCCTTGACTCTGAAGTGTTTTAGATAAGCACCTATTTACACACAGTTAAAGCTGGTAATAAATCCACCGAATGAAGTCATAGCTAAGCAAACTCAGACTAGAAATAATGAACAAGTTCTGGTAAAGAGGGTTATTACCCACTGCAACAGTTCCCTGAAGACTGTTATGTCTGGATTTAAAGATCCTCAGCTGAGAGAGTGCTTTCAAAAATACATACTTCAATTTGAACACACATTAATTTAATGCAAGACAGTGATTTGTGGTGCATGTGAAAGGGCCAACTAGAGAATTATAATAATCTCACATCTTCTAATCTATTCATAAGCATTTAAAATTTCACAGAGGAAGAATATCAAGGATGGATGCTTCATTGCTTTGAAGAATACAGTGATGTAAGCACCCAGCAAACAGCACTTTAAAAACTGAGACCTATAACCTAATATTTGACAAATGCTTGGCTGTAAATGTTTTCTTTGTAGGAAACAAAAAGAGTCAGAAGATGCTGGAAATCCTTCTCAACAGCAACATTAAGCAGATATTTCTATAGCTCGGGGAAACTTTTTCTTTTCCTTTGATGCTTAAAGTGGATAATTTCCTGCAGTCTTCCTCTCTTCTGATTCATTCCTGTGTTGTGGTGACTCAATCCCAATGAAATGAGTAGGACAGATGAAAAATAAATGTATCAAAGAAATCAAGCCTACAAGCCATAGTGAGGTTGACTTAAACTAATGGAAGCCATGAAAATCTTTAAAGAAAAATGTTAGCAATGAGTTCCTGTTTGTATTCTTTAGACAAAGCATTTTTAGCACTTCACCCCCATTTCTCAACTCTCTTTGACACTGCATATCAGAACAGAAGTTGAAGAATGTGGGCTGGTTTCACTGTTCCCATATACCTTATGCAGCTCTGGGCAACAGATCACAATGTAGAAGACACAAACAAGCTCGGCCATCCTGAGAAAAAGTAGGGGGACAGAGAGGGGAAGGGAGCAGAAGAGGAAACACAAACACTTTTACCTCCTCCCTTCCTACAATAAGATAGCTCATGTTTGTTTTCCTGTACTTATTTCTACCAGCTTCAGCACTGTCACTTACCTGATTCTCTAGTTTCAGCTGTCGTATTTTCATGCTTTCATCCTCAAAGATGCTGAGAAAGGGAAAGAAACAAATTAATTATTGCCAGTAAATAGTTTGCATTATAAGAGCACAGGATATTCACAGACTACAACTTCACCATCAAGACTTTAAAACAACTGTAAGACATAACTTCTATCCCATGAGAGGACCAAGTTACAAGGCACTAAAAAAATAAAACATACTTCATATTGTGCCATAAGTAGGACCAAACTGTAGTTTAATCACCTTAGCAAACTGTTCCAAAAACATTTTGTAAGCAAAAAAGGCTTCGTTACTAATGGAGAGACTATGAGCCACTACTGAGGTGGGCTATGAGACAATTTCTGTCTACAGGCTTAATGCAGTTCAAACCAATTCAGTAAAGTCCCTGCTCCTTCATAAAATACCCAATTCCGAATTAACTCAGAATTCTAAGTTTTGTCTTGGAGTCAAACGTACACCATTTTCTCCTCCTACCAGACTTCCCAGAAGTCCTGTTAACACCTGAGAGAATCTGTACTTGCAACACCTGATATTAATTCCTAGACATGAAAAAATAATTATTTCACTATTTAAGTGTTTTATAGATAACTTTCATAAGAATTCTAGCTTTGCATTCCATACAAACTTCCCATTTCCTTTTGTACAATAATGAATTATTACATAAAGTGTGATTTAGAGCAGTTAACCCTACAAAGGGGACAAGTTAACAGACAAGTAAGCACATACTCTGCCCACCACAGTTGTGCGCTTTCTTCCTACGCATCTTTGACAAAGACCTCTCTGGAAGTGAGAAAGCGTCAGGAAAAAGACACTTAGCACAGGAAGCAGAGAAACATTATATATTTTACTAATGGCACACAGAAAAGCAGGGATAGCCAAAATTTCAATTTAGGCAGGAAATTCCCTGTCTGGTGCAGGTATGCAGAAATGTCCAGTGATACGAAGTCACAAGCTGGCAGACAGTGTTGAATATAACCCTAACAAGGAAAACTGGAGAGCTGGAGAGAGACAAGGGAAAAAGGTGGGGTGAGGTTTCTGCAAAACACATGCCACAGAAATTGGATCACAGCACGTAGACCTAACATGAGGAGAAAGGGCTCAGAGTCTCCTGAACCCCTAGTAAACCCACATTTGACTCAACTTCCAGACAAGCAGATGACAGATCAGAGGTCCTTACAGACAGATTACCCTAACCAATACAGGCCCTGTTCTGGAAGGCTGAAATGTGCAGAAAAAGAGTTTTGTATACACACACCCTGAATATAACAGTTTATACACTCTAAAATTGATGCTTACTGCTCAACTAATGGTATTTTAAAGCAGGTTACCACTACTGTTGTTTTTTACTTTGCAGTTTTCCTTATTTCTACAATTTTTTTCTGAAGTATTTCAAGTGTCATCACCTAACAGGTCTAGGACCTTGAAAACACCTTGCTTCTAAAAACTGATGGTGCTCTGCACATGGACCAGTAATACGTAGCACCTTGGATTCAAAGGGAATGGAGGGCCTGGAAAAATTCATGTCTGTCTTGAAGAGGGATGGAGAGCTATTGTGTGTCCCCACAGCACCAGTTACAGTAATACACTCATCTCTACCTGAAAATATCCACAATTTAAGAAAGAAACACACAGAGAGATATCTGCTGAGTGCAGCAAGATACACATTAGTTGCCCCATGAAACTTCAACATAAAGTTAAATGTGACATGCTTTTTATTTAAAGCACAGGTGACGGAAAAGGCCATCTTTGGCAAAGTCCAAAAAATGCTTAAAAGCTCCAGTTCAAATATTCATGACAAAAAAAGAAAGGGGGTGTGTGTGCGAATGTTCCTTTTCTTTTCATACGCCTACTGACTTAAGAAATAGATAACATTTGCTAACTGCAGTCCAGAGTTTGTTATAAAGCAATGTAGCTCTGATCAATATTAGATTTACAGACACATTCTTATACAATTAAATAGAACTACAAAGTGTCCTGTGTAGATACAAGCCACTGTCTGAGGTTTTGTTGCTTTTCCTAGTAGAAAATTCATCCCCAACAATTTTAGTCTCTTCTGCAGAAAATAAAAAGAAAGAAACCCACTACCACTTTTGGAAATAAATTTCCAGGTTTTCCTTTTTACCTGGAAGACAGCAAAATGCTGAAATACTAGGACTTGCATATGCGCCTTCTGGAAATCCTCAATGAAAATTATTTCCCTTGTATTTTTAAATTATTTTCTTCCCACACTGGAATAAAGTTACGTAACGTCAAAGACAGGTCTGAAGACTGTTGGAACAGGACGATAACGCAGACAACACAACGCCTCACCTCCGGCTGCTTAACTGAGACTCAATCATGGCTGAAATACATAAAGATTCTAACAGGTCACAGAGCTTGATAAAGCGAAAGACAACAAGAGTGCTCTCTTTTACAATTTACTGTTAAACACAGACCCAAATCACCTTGTAGCAGGCCACAAAATGAAAGCAGCCATCAATCCTTCCCATTATGAAGTGCAAGGGTTCACACAAGTTAAATAAAAAGAAAAAATTAAAGCCATGAGCACTGTAGCATTATAAATAGTAGCTAAAAAAAAAATCACTCTATTTTTATTTCCTTCTGCAAGAAAGTGTAACATAATAACCAGATATAAAATGAGCTTCCCACACACGCACACACTTAAAACGTTTTTCTACCCACCTCAGCAGGGCTGGTGTTCCAGACCACACAGGAAAAGGCTGTACCAGAGTCACTCCGGCAGCTCACCACTAAGGAATGCAGGCACTGTGCTAATATAGCTGCAGGCTTCAAACATAAATCCTCCTGCAGACGGACTGACTACACAGACCAGCACATCTTCGTGCTCTGCAGACATGTCCACGCAAAAGCACTCTGCTCTTAGCTATGCTTTTCCATTTGAATGGCTTACACGCAATAGGAGGAGTTAAATATTCAGGAACAGGAAAGAGAAGAAGCATTTCCATAGCTACAACATGGATCAAAACAGGAAAAAAAAATACAACCCCCAAGCCAGCCACTCACTCACCTTTGATAAATAAGAACTGAAAATATTCAAGTAGCCTGTCACGATCCTACTCTTCCCAACCATTCCAGTAGAGCAGGCTACAGAGACCTTGCCCACCAACTCCTCTGCCACATTCATCAGAATCCACTAGCTCTCCTACTAAAGCTGTATGATGGGTAATGGACACATGCCACAGAGGAAAAAAAAAATGACCCAGAATGTAACATAGACATGAAAACTAATGTTTATCCAGCATACAGAAAATAGGGAAAGAGAAAGCAATCCACCAGTCTGAAAATGGTCTTCCCGTTCTGTCCGAGGAACACACAAGAGAAAGGATTCTGAAGAGCTAAAGAGGGTTCGGCAGAAAGCTGAATAAATTGACCAAGAACTGAAAATGTACCTCTTAGCAAGATTTGAATGTACCCTACAGTTCATTCAAGAGAAAATTGATTAGTATGCTCCACTGTATTCCATGGATTTGAGGCCACAAATCACTACTGATGAGAGAGGAGAAGACTACAAGATCCAGTCATATGTAACTGAAGCTAAACAAATTCAGATTGCAAATAAAATTTTTATTTAATACTGTGAACAATTAACCACTGGGATACTTCATGGAGCTGCAGATTTTCAACAGAAAACACCAGGTTTTAATCAAGGTTGAATATTATTATGCTAAAAATTGCTGTCATAGAGTAAGGCTATGGTCTACCTCAGATTTCAGGCGTGGTTACCCCAGATGGGAGAGCTAAGCGTCCTTCTCTCAAGTTACATCAAGAGACCAATTGATTTCCCTTTCTATACTGACTGTTGAAGCTGTAAAAGAGATAAATAAAAGGTTGCCTTTATTACAGACTAGTTTTGCAAGGAATTGACTGGTTGCAGCTGCGAGTGAAAGGCAAGAAGCAGAAAAGCCACATGGAGAGCAGTCTGTGGAGAGAAAATGTTCTATATGATCCAGAATTCACTGGAAAGGCAGATTTGGAATATGTTAAAGGAAAAACCTCATGATAGTTTTTTGTGTATTCAGCAAAATAGGTACATTCCTCGTATGTCCACCATACTCAGTTTTTCCCTCCTAAACCAGCAACATAGCAAGGCCTTGCAGATTTAAGTGTTTCCCAGACAGCTAAAGCTATTCTGCAGTTCAAGTAGTTACAGGCTTGGGAAGTAACGAGTAAGGTTCTCTGGCCTCTTTCAAGCAGAAGGTCAGACCAGCTGACAGCAACAGACCCCACCCCAACCTCAGAAGACAATCTGACCCAAGAGAAGGAAAGAGAGCTTGTTTTGCTTTTTAATGGTTGTAAGCTTCTACAGAGCATATATTACCACTGTATATGCACCGAATTCTCGGTGAGAGAAATTCAGGAAGTATCAGCAACTTGCGCACAGCTCTAGGGAAGATACTAAAAATTCGGATACTCCGTAGTTGGGCAGAGAGATTCAGGGAAAGCCTCCAGCAGAAGCTTTGTAGCTCATTTTAAATTAGACTACAGTTTGAGTTCCCTGTGCCTTGTTACAAACAAGCTTGATATTTTATATGTCTGACACATAAATCCTTCTTTTAACAAACACAGTTCTATTTCTCACTCTACAGAGGGCTGCTTTCATCAGGAGTCTAACAAAGCTCACGTAACTCCTTTTTCCTTTGCCAGACAGTTTATTAACGTGGCAGCAGCAATTACTTCTGCAAGCAATGCTCCCAGAGCTCAACAATCAGGGAATGAGAAGAATGTGGCTTGTGGCACATATCTTTGTCCACTAGATTTTATTTTTAGCTGTAGAAGAGCAAGTAAAAGCAACTTCAGTAAGAAATGTGGAGTCAGCTGGTACGAAAGGGTTTTCACTCTTAACTCTCCAAAGAGCTTTGCTGGGAATTGTTCTCCTCATCCAAACTACAGCTGTGAAGGAAAGCAAACCTGTAGAAAAGCAGTCATTTGAAGAAAAAAAAAAAAAATCTTATCTTTTAAAAGACATATTCCAAACAAAAATTGCAATACTGTCTCTGGAA